GTCATGTGTGATTAAACATTTTGTTGCAGATCAAATGTTAAAATGCGATTAAAATGGCTCATGCTTCAGGATGTGTTTAAACATCCCTCTGACCGCAATTAGAGTTCCACACAGGTTATAGTAATGCAAAGGCAGTGTGAACTTGGTAGTGGTCTCAGCTTAAAAGACCGTGATGGTGAAGTAAAGGGAGGTTGGCCAGTAATGGCTGTCAGGGGCTTTATAGTGGCAGATACGTGCTCTGCTGGGGTTCAGAGCCTGTTCCCCACAGCAGCTGCCTCAGTGCTTTACTGATGTTGTGTGTCTGTATAGATGTAAATTGTTTACATGTATTTACATCTAGTTTGAGGTTTTAACCTTTTCAGCCCAGGTCTCACATACTCGGTGTCTTGACATGAAAATGCTTACTTGAGGATATTAAGAAATATTAGAATGAGTTTGGTTTCAGCCTTTATCAATGCACTGCTGCCCTGCAATAATGTACAATACAGGGATAGATGGTAATATTTTGAAGCACTGGCCCTATGGGTCACTGAGTGGCTAAACTACATTTTTGGTGGCCCAATGTAAATGTGTGGTCTCAGTGTGTTCATTAATGTTGCTTGGGCAAAGTGCACTGGATATTATCACTTTTTATTTCCAAGGTTCAACATTAACCAATGGCCACAAAAAGTTAGTGTTGCCAGCAGGTGGCCCGCTGTGGCCACCAAACTTTCAGGTCTCTACTGAGATCAGATTTTCAGTTTAATTAGAAAAATCCATTCATTATGCCCATGTATTTTGACAAAGAAGGCTACAGTTGCAGGCATGAATTATAGGTTTTCCACCTCTTTTTGTAATGTTTCTATTGTTGACGCGATTGACTTGGACATTCACAATGAAAGAAACACACAATGACTAACTTGAGCATAGGGAAGAAAGGAGAGAGAATTAAGTGATCAGTGTTAAAGGAGTAGTGTTATTTTGTCAATAAAACCTGTCAACAAGATATATTCATTGAGTTGACTGATTTAGGATGTTCCAGTAAGAGGGGCTTTCCTTGTATTTTGTTTTGTATCGGTGACAAGAATAAAGAGGACATAAAATCCTTTTGAGTGCCTGGGAGAATATGCATGGCGGTCTTAAAACATTGAAATGTTTGTATTGGAAAGCACTGTGTGGATTATCACCTAAATAACATATTTAGAAAGTATTATTTATTAGGAATGGTTGGATTTCTTAAATTGTTCCTATTCCCCTGAAATGTAAGCGTCTTAAGGGTGGGTTTGAAGATTTCATCTGTGCAGTGTTTGAAGCCTCTCCTCTCGTCCCCTCCCCCAGTTGGGTTTTATCTTTTGCAAGTCTAACCGAATATCGGGTGCTCTTTGGCAAAGCTTACCAAGCAACAGAAGCCCTGAACCTCATTATTGAACCCGTTATTGTTTAACTGCAGGGCTTAATGTATGGTTAAAATAAAATGTTAAAATTTTGTATGCTAGACAAGATTGACTCTCCAGTCAAGCCAGCTGTGGTCTGATCAGGAACGTGTCCTAGTCAATGTCATTATTTCTCAAGATCACTGAATGCACAGACTGTTGTCTATCAGCAGTGCTTTTGTGTAATTGTCACAGACCATTGTCCTCTAATGCCCTGCATGCATGTTAGAGCAAAGAATGTGTGTGAGAGTATGCACACACGCTTTCAGACACACAGAGCAGCTCCAGCATCTCTTTGTTCCCTTGTCCTTGTGTGAGAGAAGCGCTTTCATAAGCTTGGCAACAGCAACTAGCTAGTAGCATGTTTGACCTTCAGGCTCCTCTGAGCGGCCGCACAGGGGTACTACACCCCAGAGAGCAGAGCCCAGCTGTCAGCAGCCGTGTGCAGTGGTCTGAGATGCCTTCACTATCCTACAGTAGACCTCATGCTTTTGATCGTGTAAACCAAGTGGTGGCGGCTACACTTTAATTCTGTTTATAATTGTACACCAATGAGGTTAGTAGGCTTCTTTACTGAGTGTAGTCTATAAAAGACAAATGTACTCCAATTACATTGACCACTTACATAATGCAGAGATGCTGTTTTGAGCGCTCATGGTTAGACTGGCTGAATGAGGCATTGAAAGACTAAACCCTTGACTGTTGTTTTGAGTCCTGTCAGAAGGTGGCAACAGTCCCCCATCTGCTGGATTCTGTAGGAAATGCAAGTAATTTAGACCTTTGAAAGCTAAGAAATAAACTGTAAAAGGCAATTTTCATGTATTAGAACTACATTTTTATGACATTGCATTTATTCATTTGGTTGCTGTTGTTCTGCATCCAAGCCTTAGATCGTTTAGGGTTTGTTTATGTAGAACGGTTCATAAAATGCCCAGTATTAGAGGCTCACATCCTCCCTTCATACTATATTTATAGGCCGTAGACAGACCTGGCTAAGACCCTGAGTTAGTGTAGTGACATAATTATTTTTGTCCATTCATGGCATCCAAGAGAGGTTCAGTTCAGAAAAGGCTTTTCACATGGAGTGATGTGGAGGACTGTAGTAACATCAAGCTGCTATAATCAAAATTTCTATTAACTAACACTGATCAGCCGTAGCATTATGACCACCTGCTTAACACCGTGTACACAGGAATCAATGTGGCAGTTGTCTGGCACTTATTATGAGGGAGCAGACAGTTATGGATATACACCAACCAGCCATAACATTATGACCACCTGCCTAACACCGTGTCACTCTGCAGCTCACTGTGCATCTTCTGTGAATCTCTTTGCTTCCATAGTTCGACTGTCAGGAAGAGCACGAATGTGTCGACCGTTCAGTGTAAAAGGAGTGAAAACTCTGGTCCTGAGGATGAGAATTGTTTATAGCTGCTGAATGTTTCTCTTCATAAAGACCAGTGTACAGTGTTTCTCATTTTCAGCCTTTGTTAAAAAGATTCAAACTAAATGGAATCTTTTGAAGAAGATGAATGAAATTTAAAGGCTTAATCTACAGTAGATCAACCTCATCAGTGGGCGTTGGGCATCCATGACCCTGTTGCTGGTTCACTGTTTGTCCTTCCTTAGACACTGTAGGTAGGTACTAACCACTGCAGACCAGGAACACCCAACAAGACCTGCAGTGTGGGAGATGATCTGACCCAGTCGTCAGACATCACAGTTTCTCCCTTGTCAAAGTCACTCAGGTCCTTATGCTTGCCTGTTTTTCCTGCTTCCAACACATCAACTATGAGGACCGGATGTTCACTTGCTGCCTAATCTACCCCACACACTGACAGGTGCCACTGTAATAAGATAATCAATGTTATTCACTTCACTTGTCAGTGGTCATAATGTTATGGCTGGCTGATGTAAATCATGTGACTATTTGTCTGTGAGGGGTTGTGATTGTAGTGTGGGTTGCAGATCCCTTCTGCTCTCCAGAGCATTCCAGCATCTTAAAGTACACTCTTTTGTTTTTACTGCAGGCAGCTCCAGTGTTCTCATTCATTCTCAGTGCTCTCACCAGCAGGAAACAGTTTTCAGTAAAAAGCTTTACCTGCCAAGCCCTGAACAGCAGGCAGACTGACGTTTAGCAACTAAGTGGTAGTGCAGCATTTAGTAGCTAAATCTTTCCTTCAGGCGATATCAGTAAAATGGTTGAAAGAAGAGTGAATATTGCACCTAAAATGTTAAATAAATGTTGATGTTGCTTTTATTTGCTGGATGTCTAAATAAGCACCAGGTTCTCATATCAAATCAAAAGGTGATGTCAGTGTTGTAGTTATACCTTCTATCACTGCCTACAAGTGGCTAAAAGTCGTTTAAGAAAACCATGTCATCAGTGAATAAGTCATTGACTTAAATATTTTCCTGAATCATCCTTTCTCTCCTCTTATTTTTTTTTCTCTTGGCTGTGTTTAGGATACACTCCAGCCGGCACCCCATACAAAGTGCCCCCTACTCAGTCAAATGGAGCACCTCCTCCCTACACCCCCACTCCCACCCCGTACCCAACAGCCATGTACCCCATCCGCAGTGCCTACCCTCAGCAGAATTTATACGCACAGGTAAGGGCACTGAATTAGAACTAACAGCATTACATTTTGGGGAAATACTTGTAAATACCCTGCAGCTGAAAAGTTTGATCAGGTTTGTCATGCTGCACCTGTTCTTTTGACAGCGGCGTGTTGCTTAATCATTTTAGGGAATATGTTTGTGTTGCCTGGCTGCTCAGTGTCATTTTACCGTATATTAAAAGCGGTTAAGATGAGGAAATTTACATAAGGGGCACCAAAGGGAATGTCCTCTTTCTAATAATTCAAACATGAGGCATTTTGAATGTTAGTGTGTTCAGTAGCCACAAAGAAATCAACTCAGGAGCTGAAAGCACATTTTAACATGCTGCCTCTTTACACATGAGACAACAATAAAATCAACATTTGGTTCTTTTACACTTTGGTGCTGTACTACCGTGTAATGGTTTGAAAAGAGGTGCAAAAGCAGGAAGTAGTGTTGATCTTCTGGGTGTTTCCTCTTTACTTCTGTTGTTCTTGCAGTTGAACATGTAGCCACCCTTCTTGTGTCTCCCTTCAAATAGAACATTCATTTTACACCGAGTTTTATATATTATACACACCCTCAGACTCACCAACTGTACTGTGTTGGTCAGGGAGCATACTATACCCAGCCAGTGTATGCGGCTCAGCCACATGTGATCCATCACACCACTGTGGTGCAGCCCAACAGCATCCCCTCCACAGCCCTCTACCCGGCCCCAGTCCCTGTACCTACTCCTCGCAACAACGGCATGGCTGCCATGGGGATGGTTGCTGGGACAACCATGGCCATGAGCGCAGGTATGGACAGAACCAAGCACTCTCCACATGTATGGTTATTTCAGTGATATGCTAAGGCTCTTCTACCCTCACTGCTGACAAGAACTCATTTACTTGTGCTTCAAATTGTTTTTGCATTTACACAGATATGTGGGCAGCATATACAGTATATAAATTAGAGGTGAAACGATTAGTCAGTATACAGAAGATTCACCCATAACTTTTCAGCCTATTGATTTTTGTTTGTTTGTTTTTTTGTTTAAGCAAAAAAATACAGCATAGGTTCTCTTGTTCCAGGTTTTCAAATGTGAATGTCTGACAGTTTTCTTCATCTTCTGTGATAGTAAAGTGAATAGCTTTGATTTTTAGACTACTGGTCAGATGAGTTTTCAAGTTCTTCTCATGGTTCCTGGTAACTTATAGTTGACATTTTGAGGAAATAATTGCTAGTGGCAACCTTAGTCTCTTACATTCATCTTGTTGTTTAACTGGCTTCATTCAGGTTTATTTTATAAAAGTTAAAGAAGGTTGATTTGGTATGTTGATTTTAATTAAGGCCTATGTAAATAGTCACATTGGCTAAATGTTTGAAAACAACTACAGCAACTCATTTAAAAGAAAAAAGACAAACCAAGCTGATTAGCAGATGTATTCATAAATGGTAAAAGCTCATTAACAGTGGTGGTAACTTCCTGTAGGGACTCTGCTGACAACGCCCCAGCACCCCCCGATCGGAGCACACCCAGTTACTGTGCCAACCTACAGGCCCCAGGGGACACCTGGGTACAGCTACGTACCACCTCATTGGTAGAGCCCACCCATCATGTGAGTGTCTGCCCTTGGTCCTCTCCAGCCTAGTTTTATCTCCTCCATCTGTTCCCTCCTCCCTCCTCCTCTCCGTTCCTCTGTTTGTTCCTCTGTTGTCTCTCACTTTGACTTGAACAAACTGTGCTGCCTCTTGTTTCTTTCCGCTGTTTTCCTCCAAGGTCGGAGGTAGTCATAAATCAATCACAAATTTCTGCTCTTCTTTCTCACCAGATCTGGAGTCCACCATCGTATGCAACTGCTCAAATCTTACACGGGCTCCCACTGGTAACCATGGGAGCCTGGCACCTGTCTGCAAGAACAAAACTAAAGTGCAACAGCCACTTTAATATTATTGTTATTGTTATTATGCGACATTCTTTAACATTTTTACAAAAGCTGCTTTTAATTTTTATTATTTTCTGTTCATTTGCCAACCAGTCATTACTTTTTGTGTGGGGTTGTTTTATTTTACTTTCTCTCCTTTTTTTTTTTTTTTTCTTCTTCTTCTTCTTTGCTGTGTCTGTCATTGGAACTCCAGAAGGACTCTTGACCAATCATGGGTGTCGGCCGCTCCTGTTTCTGTGTTGTGCTGGTGTGTGTGTGGTCCTGCCTACTGCTGCTCAGTTGGCTGGAAAATATTGGGCACTTACTCCTCATTATCATCTCCATCAGTCATTACAAAGACTTATTGTTTATGCTGCCAAATTTTCACAAAACCACAAAATATCAGCACAGGGTTTTAACATAATTAGGGTTTTTGTTTTTAAGGTTATTTAATGTCTGTCCTTTTACCTCACTCAACGGAATGACATTTTCCTCTCCACTTATTTGCTACCTTTGTTCTTCCTTCCTGTTCATCCTTTTAATCTACTTTGCTTTCAGTCAAATTTCAGTCGTCTTCCAATGCCTAGCTGTCCGGAAGTAGTCAGTCCATCGTTGCTGTTTGTCCTAACATCTGCATGTGAGTGCCGTGTCGTTTTGGGCAGAGCACTTGCCAACAATCACCCATCCCGCTGCGTGCCCCACTGTGTCCACATTAGCATAACACCTAGCGCACACTAAGAAAACATAACCTACATGCTACATACTATGCAGGCTAGTATGTTGTGACAATATTGAAATCTTTAACCTAGCTAGAGAACATTTTGGGGTTGTTTGGGTCATGCCAGCTTTTGTATGTGGTTAGCATACAGTAGGTCAAAATAGAAAATTTAAAAATATTTATACTAACGGTGTCATCAGCATGGGTGGTTGTGCACACTTTCTCACATGTACACACAGGGGCTCCTGCGGTGTGTTGGAAACATATGATCACTTAGTGGCACTTACTGTACAGTACTTCCAGTTACATTGTTACTTATCAACACACACACAGACACACACACACACACACGACATGGGTTTTTAGGGGGCTGCGCGGCAGACACAGCCAGCGGAGAGGGAGTTTAAAGGGATTGTGTTGGCATGAGGAGAGCAGACAACAAGGGAAGAGGAGGAGCAGACATATTTGCAGTCAGTCTCTTCATTTCAAGGTACAAGACAGTTAAGTTTGTGACATCTCACCTGCAAGAGACTGCTCAAACACGCTGCTTCTTTGCACTACATGTATTGTACATTGATTTCTCACTGTGAGTATATCATCTCCTCCTCTTTCCTCCTTCCAGGCGAGGACTAACAAGCAAACACTCAAACCCAGACTGAGTGTACAGTTAATAACAGACCAGTCAAATAAATGTGCTGATGGATAGATGAACGCTGAAAAGACATTTGGGTTGCAATTTTAACTTTGCTGGTGTTCCAATGTGCACACAAGCACAAAACCTGACTGATTTAAAAAAAAAAAAAAAAAAAAAAAATGTTTTATGCATTCATGGCACGAGTGTAGAGCTGTGACAATGCAGTGTTGCTCAGTCACTTAGCTTTAAACCTGTTCAGTTCTTCTGGGACTTGGGAAAAGTGCAGCATTGACCTCCTGGGGCCAATTTGAGACTTTGACTTGTACCAGTGTTATGACAAAAGAATCATCCATTTGTTTGCTGTGATTATTTTTGTAAGCGGCAGAGGTTTACACACGTGCATTTAAACATTATTGTCCATTTTTAAAAATCTGGCATAAAGGTTTTAAGAACATTGTCTTTAGATGTGGATGCTATTTGAGCCAATGAGACATGGATCATATACAGCTTTGTTTATTGTGCTTTGTTTGTACATACCAAGGTATTTAGATGCACCGTATGATGATCCATCTTAATGAAACTCATTCTTTGAGTCTGAGTCTTTGTCTATTGGTCCTTGGCTGGAGAAAACGGGGGTTGTGGTGTGGCGGTGATGGGGTTTAATATTTAGGTGAGGCCTGTGGTGTGTGGGTTTTTTTTTTTTTTTTTTTTTTTTTTCAGGATTTACCGAAACTCAAAACACAACTTCATGATCTGTACAGTACAGATTGGTGTAATGAGAAGCATTTACTGTGTGGGTATATAGATGAAGTGGTTTGATTATTGCAATAAAATGCCTCCAGCTGTTATAACATAGTCATTTTATCAGCGTTTTGAATTGATCTTAAAAATGCTTATTGTTGTAATCTCTAAATATCGGTCACCGGCTCTGTATGCAGCCTCCATTTAATAATTATTATTACAGTTACTGCTAAGAATAGTAGAACATATCAACAATTTGGGGTATTGAATAACTTTGTGAGGAAGTATTGCACAACATGACAAAAAAAAAAAGTTGACTATAATTTAATGCTAAGTAACAGGAACCTAGGCTTTGTAGTGCAAGAGGGAGGAGGAAGCAGTTTATATTGTAATTAAAAATAAAACAATAAGGTTGAGTGTTTGAGGTATGCTTAGTCCAGATGTTTGTACACTAGTAGGTTAACACTCAAGAAAATATTGCATAATGCCGCTGTCGGATGAAAACAGTCGTACGTTTTGAGCCTTAATTTGAAAATGATCCTCGTCTTTTAGAAGATAAGTGGATAACATCAGCATGAGGGTCACCATGAAAGGATGCTGTACATTTTAATTCAAGCCAGTAAAACTGGAGAGAAGACAGGATTTTCTTGCGACAGCAGTAATGTTACTTGTCATTAGGATTTATTTAACCAACCACTACTACTGTCAGTATTTCTCAATTAAATCTTAAGGTTTTTTTTCTTTCCCTCTGATCAGTTGAACATAATGGGTATGCATAATATTCAGGTGTATTTCACTATAGCATTGGATTTATAAGTTTAAAAAATGCAGTATATTTATACAGCAAGTGGTACAGTAATGTATATCTAGCTAAGCATGGTTGCATCAGTGTGGCAGCTACTGTTTGTGCTTTTAATATTTTATTTTGTATTTTTTAATTTACCTCCTCTTCTGCATTTCTGTCCTCTACATATCTACTGCTGAGGGGGGAGACATTTACACAAGGTCTGAAAACCAAATTAGGACTTGTGAAAATTCTAGTCACCAAGTATTTTGATTGTTGCTCAAATGTATAGACCTTGAGGAAATTGAGGATAAAAGAACTGCAATGGATGACAATGTTTCGGATCCCTTAAAAAAAAAAAAAAAAAAAAAAAAAGTCACTGTATTGCTCTCAGAAGCCAGCTTTGCTGTCCATTTCTATTCTGTTGGTCCAACAAGATATCGACTGATGTCTTGAAAACCCTCAGCCTCGACACCCATTGTCCTGTGCCATATTTCACCGTTGTTCAGTAAACATTAGTTTCTTCTCTTAACTGGTGAATTCTGAGTCCTTGTAATGTCTGACTTCCTGTGAATGTGTTTTCCTATTGCTGTCCTAGTTCTCACATTGTTGTTGATGCATATTGCCTGTCTCTCTTTTATCTTTCTGGCTGTTTCCTCTGTGCTTATCCTGTTTTCACTTTATGCCACAAGTCCCTTCAGAGGCCATTTTGCATCCTTTGAAACGTTCTTTTTATCAGGGATGCAAAATGTCAGGTTACATGTTCTGCTCCTTCTTTTCTGTTAACCCTCTGCTCTCACATCATGGTTTTGTTCATGTTGTCTGTCAGTCTGACCTTTTGCAACCTTCACCACCCTGTCTGAATAGCATTCATGTAGAACTATATGATAGACATTACATTAGTGTTACTAATCTTGTGTATTTGTTTGGAATTTGTGATTTTATACTGAGCCTTTTTAAACACTAGATGTCGCCATGTGACAGTCTGAAAGTGGATTTATCTCTGAAACATTATGATGAATTCTGACATGATTAAAAAGTGTCATTTTCATTTCAGAAATGCAATTGGATGTCACATTTTGAGCTGCGCGATATTTTTTGTGGGTGGTCGATTCCAAATCAGTCTTTATTTTGTAAAGACATTTTCAGAAATGTCAGACACCAAATAAGGTTTGTTGTTCGTTTAAGAAGAGTTAATTATTTTGAAGAGAGAGCGTTTCTCTTGTGGGCTGCGGACCAATGCTCTTTAAAAACCACAGTACTGTTTCAATGCGGCGGCTCAGCAGAGAGGCAGACCCACAGAGCATTTGGGGATTGGTGAAAGAAAAACGGCTCTCACAGAGCAGCTTTGTTTTTCAGGGTTGTGAAACTGCTTCCTCATTTCACTTCATTCCTTGCTTCTCATTTCTTTCAGTTTGCACTTATGTGAAAATGGACAGCTGAACACTTTGTGTCTAGGGGGGAACAATGCAAAGTTGTCTTAATCATGTTTCCTCTTTTATATTTACTTTCCTCAGTTGCATTTCGAAATGTTGAAAGGTGAAACCTTTAATGAGGATTGCTCAGTTCGTTCCAGTTTATTTTCATCTTCTTCACTAACAGTGAAAATGTGATTGCAACCATTCATAACAATTTTACTCTTTGATTTTTCCCTCTTTCCTCCTTTTGCCTTGCAGTTGCTATGTCTTAGTTTTTTTTTTTCCTGAGTAATTAAAACACTGCTATCACAGGGAATAGTAGGCTTTTAAATGTCTTCGATGTTCTGCTGCAGCTTTTTAATTTGAATTTGTCAGAGATATCTCTTGGTTTAATTTGACACTAAATGTGATGCAAAAAGTGGAAAATTCCTTGTCTTCCAAAAAAAAAAAAGATGAAAAAAAATAAAAAAAATAAAACCATACTTGTATCCCCCCCCCTCCCCACCCGGATCGAGTATTAGGAACAACCCCATCTTTGGAAGTTTTAGTTTGGTACCCAGTTTGCACATGCTATGGTATATCTGTTACCGTAAGGTTGTGTTTGCAACTGAAGCCTAACGTCTGTTCAGCGTTGAGAGAAGTGAATTGTATGTTAGCTATCGGGTCTGGAGTGAAGGACCCGCGTCAGGCTTGTGATATGAAGTGTAAATCTGTTTTTAATTTTTGTTCTTTTTTTTTATGGGTTTTTTTTTTGTTGTTTTTTTTTTTTTAAGATCAGTTAGTGATCTTAGTACTATAACTAAGCCAAGTTTGTAATTGTATATTTACTGTAAAATGTAGAACATTGAATAACTATTAAAATTTTCCTATAAAAGGAAGATCGTCTTTTGTGGCCTTATTTCAGAATTTGTCGTTATTAGGTTTCTGTATTGGCTAAATGTAAATACAGCTGACCCAATGTTTTAACAGTTGCACTGGGATTTAAGAATGGACTTATCTGCAGTACAGTATAGACGGTACAGCTCCACACAGCCTGAAGACCGGACCAATGGTAGTGAAAAAGACACTTTCTCATACTCTTGTAGTAGAGAAGTGATAGTACACTTTTTCCGGAAACACTACTGTACCTGGATAATTTAGAGCCTCACCCATGAAAACAACTCCTTCTCTGGAAACGCTTCTGCACGTGGTAACACATAATCCAGAGCCTCACCCGTGAAAACAATTCCTCCTCTGTTTAAGGGGCCTGACACAAATCTCTGCCAAAGTTTCAAATCCATTTAGATTAATTATTATCAAAGGAAGTTCTGCCGTGAGAGACTTGACATACAGTATGTTGTGAAATGAAAATTGCAAAACCTAACTGTGGTAATAAAGTCTTATAAATGTCTCATTTTAATCAACCCAGTTGTTATGAAACTGTACAGATCGCGAAAACTAATGCAGAAAGGTGCTTCTGTTATTTAGCCTGGCCTCACCGACAAATGTGTGGGCAAAATGGAAACACCTGTCAGTGCAAAAGCACAGCAAATCACATCTTCCAAAGTGACCATGAACATCATCGCCTTCATAAAGGGAGCGTTCATTGCAGGGCTGCTGTATTGGCCTGCATTTGTTTTAGCACCAGTTGACAAGACTGTAATATATGGAAGAGCTGAAGTTGATGCTGTTTCTACATTTGCTGCATTTATTTTATTTTTTTAATTTTTAAAACAAATTGTGAGTTCAAAAATCTCTGGCATGGAAAGCTACGTCAGTTCTGCACAGGGAGTCTCACTGAGGGGGACTGAGCTGGCAATGTTTACAGTGGCTGCAGGTGCTGGGGGCAGATATCCCGAGTGAGCACCTACCATTTACCTGCAAGACCAGCAACAAACAGCCAGGTATTCCAGACAGAGGACCCTGACAATACTGCTCTAAAGTAGTGTTAGCAGTGTAATGCATGGTCTGTTACAGAGATAAAAGTATGTTCCTTTTCAAGAACAGGTTCACTTGAGGATAAAAACACAGTACTTCTTCAGAGGTACTTTCTCAATCTGCAAATAGAAAAACCACGGTGCGTTGTTTCCTGTGTGGTGGGCAGCATGAGAAGATTCACTCTTTCACTTCTCTCCAGATCCACTAGCAGACATCCGACTGGGTTGAGCAACACCACCCATCACTAGTATAGATCGCATTCCCTACTGAGGAAGGACTGACACACACCTCTTTTATGCACAGTGATAGTCGTGTTTTGACAGCAATCAGAAGAGACTCCTTTGTCTCATATTCCAAGCGTTATTTGGTAATTAACCGGAAAACTTTAAATCTGAGTGTAGCTTAGGTGTTTTAAACAATTACAGCTGGATATGGGATTTCATAAATGTTTTAAAAATATAGCCACCACAAAGTTGTCAGTGTTAACCAAGTGATCCTAACCCTGAGTTTTATTTGGTTGTATATGTAGTTTTCCTTCTCAATTTGGTGTTATAAGGGTTTGAATCACATTAATTCCTTGCAAAAAACAAAACGAAACAAAGTTTCGTTTTACTGCTTCTTTTATCTTGCTAATTGTCCTCTTCTACCTGCTTTCACAAAATCTATTTTATGCTGTTTCCACAGTAGTGCCACCTGCTGCACTTTTGCCTCCTGTGTCTGACTAAAGGTTAAGTGTCTGTGTTAAACCACACACCCAGACCAAAGTTTGATCAGCTTTAATCAAGTTTGTCTTTGTTTAAATGACTAATTCAACTAGTTAATAATTAGGCAGCATAGACGTGCCGATGTACTGTACATCTTTCACATATTAGGAAATATTCAGGCTGGGTGTTCAGCATGCAAACTAAAATACACCTTGCTCTTTAACTAGACATTACATTAACTGTAGCATCCTACTGCAGGTGACTGTCAAATATGCATGCATAAAGTACAGGGTAAACATTCAGTCACACACAATTAGCACTGACAGGCAGTCATGTATAAAAACAGATATGTTATTTAAAAAGATCTTTCTCTTATCCTGAAGTATAATGTCCGGCCGGGAACAAAGGCAGTCGCACACTGGTTACAAAAAATAAAATAAAATACCCGAGGCCTCTCTGTGTGGAGTTTGCATGTTCTGCCTGTGCCTGTGTGGCATCTCTCCTGGTACTCTGGTACTCTGGCTTCCTCCCACAGTCCAAAGACATGCAGCTTAGGTTGATTGGTGACTTTAAATTGCCCATAGGACTGCGTGTGAGTATGTATGTGGTTGTTTGTCCACGTGTCAGCCCTGTGATGGACTGGCGACCTGTCCAGGATGTACCCTGCCTCTCACCCAGTGACAGCTGGCATTGGCTCCAGCCCCCATGACCCTATTCAGGAATGAGCGATATAGATAATGGATGGATGGATGTACATGAACCTTAGGATCATCTGATTATTTTCCACACCTTACATATTCACAGAAAACATACAGAAACATGATAGATACATAAACATGACTTTACCTAACAAGACCTGCAAGGCTGAAGTCATGCTAACAGCTCTGTGGTCCTGTATTTGACTGCATGCTTACATACTCATGGTGCCAATACTAATATATTGATACTATGCTGCTATAATATTTACCATTTTTATGATCTTAGTAGTATGTGATAACAATTGTAAATGATTACTAAACACAATGTATAGCTTAGGCTGATTGCAGTATCATTAGTTTAGCTGCTATTTGGACATAAAATACTGGGCAAATAAAAATGTTGACCTGCAGATGGGGCTAGATAAAATATTAAGGGATCACCAGAGTCATTACTGCTCATCCTGAGGAGAACATGAATAGCCTTTCTTGTATAAAGTTTCATGACAGTCCACCAATAGGCACCAACAGGGCTCAACTTAGCCTTAACTTGTGGTATGTTGTGCCATAGAACTAATGTTTTTGGTCATACTTCTGAAACTATATTAGTTAAATTATATATTTTAGTTTCAGTGGATGTACAACAGCCTTAAATAGATAAAACAACTGTTTGACATAAACACATTTTGCCATAAAATCATGATATGTAAAAAGTGGCTCATTTTATCCCGTCCTCACCTACACGTGTACATGTTGTCAAAAATCTGTGAGTACTCATTTATGAAAATTTGTAAATGTTCCTACCCCTAAAATAAACCGTGGAGAATGCCAAAGTGTTTCTTTCACATTTCTTCGTAGCTTAGTTGGGCAACTGCGAATTCCTTCAATTCACAGCAATATCTGAGGTTTAACAGCTTAGTTTTTAACTTCACACCTAGGACATTATCTTCAGTCAACAACCTTTTAAGTTTGATTTTTACACTCTACTGCAGCTACCCCTTCATTAGGGCGTCTTTTGTACACTAAGCTCAGTCTTATCAAGCTGAGCTATTGCAGAACAAATGCAAAGAAGGGCGGAGGTCTAAAATGTGTTTGGATGAGAGACGC